AGCTTCCTTGATGCTACAGATGACAAATTCAAGTTACTGATAAGCAGAGTTCACATTTCTGGTACTGCTAGCTAAGTATATTTTCTATACCAACTACTACTTTGACTATTTCCTATCCATAGAGTTATGATAGCTACAGCTCTGGGAGGTGACAGCAACCTGTGTTAATTTGTTCTCCCAACAGACATAATACACATATAGGAACTCTGAGAGAATTTCAAGTGGGGTCTAAACCGAATTGAATAAGCTACAGAAAATTTCTGCATTGATTTTTCCACCTGTAAACGACATGATTTTGATTCATTCTTGATTGCAAAATGATTTTTGATCCTTGCAGGATGGTGCTGAAAAGTGCAAGGCTTGGCCCTTATTAGTTTCCACTTTGGGCATTGTTTGAGTAGGAATGAATTTATCTTTGATTGTTTTTAATCAATAAAATGTACTTATCTGTAAGTAGAGTTTGATAAGAATCAAGTACAGCATGAAAGAACTGGTTAATCTGTTGTTAATGAAAAGTTTTATCTGGGTGACAACATCTTGCTTCTGACGTATTTGCTTTTGAGCATTAGGACACAAACCACTTCAGTGTTCATCTTCAAGGAAATCTGCCAGCTGTATAAGTTAACTTTAATAAGCCTTGCAAATGACTGTAGTTAACCATCCTTTTTGGAGGACCATCTTAAGTGCTATTACTATTGTGAGAGTGAATATGGACTTGAAATCTGTGGAGGGGAGGAAAGAATCCGAAAAATAATTTGTTATTCAGAAACATCCTTCACTTCCATGCAGAGATCTCATGAGGAATTTGTACTGCACTTCATAATCACTAGTAGCCTAATTGAGTCAGTGAAATTACATCTGTAAAACTAGAGTATGTAAAACCAGATACAATTCCACAGTGCCTGATTCAGTACCCACTGAAGTCAACACATGTTCTGCTGAATTCAACAGAAGTGAAATTGGAAGATTTTATGTATGTGATTAACTAAGAGCTGCAAATTGACCAATACCCAGGAAACGAACAATATAATTGAGATTGTGTAGTCAAGACATCCATCATTTAAATTCCTTTCTTGTACCCATTGTTCATGTGCACAACTATGCTTTTATATGGAATCCTGCACTAGTTCTTCATGAGGTCTCTGTAAAGGGTCTTCATGGATTAATGCAGTACTGCCCCTGGGATTCTGAATATGCACATGTCAAGAATTAAATCAACCAGTAAGTCTGTGGAATATTTACTATATCTAAATAAGCCATGTTTTCGGTCTCCATGCAACAACTGTGGTCTGAACTTCCTCTTATGGAACTCACGTGTGGGGCTTTTGCTGGATCTTAATACATGCTTTCATCTATTTACAGTACAGTCAGTAAAATTACAGTGGATAACAGCCACCTCAATCCATTGCTTTTAAACATCAAGTACTTATTCTTACAGAGTGAATAATGAGACTCTCCACAGCATTTGGTGGTACGGACAAACATAATGGTTACCACAAAATCATGTGCAAAAGTAACTTCAACAGGTAAGTGCATATTTAGGGGAAAGGAAAACATTTTTGGTGCCATCTCAGTAAAAACAAGAGCAACTTCACCTTTTAATTCATGGTACTGTGGTATTTTATATTATCAGTACTTGGTTAAACATTGCTGGAGATTTTGTGATAACAGAGTACTTGCAATGCTAAGTAGGAAGGGAATGACCTTTAGAGCATTGTCATTGTTCACGCATCTTTCCAGTAGGTAGGTCTAGTGCTCAAGCTGAGGGTTTTTTTTCTCCAAGGTGATGTGTTAATGTGTTATTGTTGTGTTACTTGGAGATTAACATTGTAAACATCTCCCACCTAATTAGCAGCATTGCATGTGACTATCAGGTTACTTGACAAATAGGTTAGCATTTATCTGACCCAGCTTACTATGTTTAATGTTTCTGAGGCTAATTAAGGAGCCACAAGATTTCTTATTGGGAAAAGAATAATTATGCCAGCAGGCCTAACAGTGCTAGGTCTAACATGGGCTGTGGCAGTTGTGTTGCATGTGCATAACTGATGTCTGTCTGTGCAGTGACTCAGCTGTCCCATTGTTTCTGCTGTGCCAACCTATGCTGATGCACAAAAGTGAAATACGTGTTTGGGATTTAGAAATATTTGGCTGCTCTGCTACTTAAAATAACTAGTTAGATGCCCAGAATCTTTGGCTGGAAGCAAAAGGATTGGTAGCTTTTTAGTTGCCCACAGACTTCTGTTACTTCTTGTGAAGGTGTGAGTACTTCCGTATCTGATTAAATTATGTAGACAGGATAGCTGGACAGCTGTCAATATAGTAATCCTAATTTATATCAAAGGTCTGGTCTATCTGTTCTCTAACTTGTTGGCACATGTAAGATGATGTGATGATAATGAATCGTTGTAGTTAAAGGAGTTCACCTGTGTAAAGCTGAAGAATGCAGTTATATCTAAGTACATATCAGGGTGCAGCTGAAGTCAAAGGCAGATTTTGATACTCGAGAATAAAAAGTGAAAAATCCTAGTATGTAGGAATATGGAATACAGTTAAAATAATTTACATTTTGCAATTAATTGAAATGAATATACAGTTGAAGTTAACTTGACAGTGGGGGGAAAAAAAAAAAGCATTAATTGGCATACTAGTTATAACTTATCAAAACAGCTAAGGGCCTAGCAGAGCATGGAAGTATTGCTTCTCCATCAGGTCAGAAACTAGTTAATAGGAAAAGGGGAATAAACTTGCTTTTCCCTTTACCCTGCTCTATGTGTCTTGAGTGATTAATCTGTGCTCTGCCTCAAGCTGTTAATCTGCAGTGGTGACATTTCAATTATAAACGGCATTTTGTCCATCCCCTCTGGAAATTCTGGATTTGTCAGTGCTAAAGCATCACTCGTACATGAATGCAACTCCACTGATAGCTGCACAGCTAAACCTTGCTTCCTTTCAATAAATAGTTTTGGAGGTTAGGGTAGTATCTACCAGCATAAACTTTAAGCAGAAAGAACAGCAGCAATGCACATTTTCCATACACAAACAACTACATTTAAGAGAGCACTGCGGTGATGGAAGGACGGGCAACAGAGTGGCTGGGTAAGGCAACGATTCTCCAAAGTTCCCTGTTTTCCCTAGAAAAACACGAAGAGTGAAAGTGGCAACAGTAACATTCCAATTCTGGCCTCCAGTGGATTTTCCTACCCTATTGTCTTGCCCCCTTGTTCTAATTTAAGGAGCTCTGATAACACAAGGGTGGTTATTCCAGCCGAAGTATTTCTTGCTATTCCTGACTGTTGTTCTGATCTGATTGCTGAAGATTATAATTGATTCTTACATCCTCATAAGATTGTTCTATTTACCTATAAACTGTCGTTTCTATTAACCAATACCTCCTCTAAAACAATTTAAAAGCCAATAACTTATATTTTCTGAAGTCATTTATCATTCTTATGGCTTTCTTCAGAAATGACTTCAGCTGTTCTTCATTTTTGTGAGTAGATATATTTTGAAAATCGCAGCATTTCAAGCCTTAGCCTCTGTATCTGTTACTTGTTTATAGGGAACATGCAGCAAGGGCAGAGCAAGCTTCTCCCTGGCTCATCAGTCACAGTCTGCACTAATGGAAAAACAGCCTCTATGTGTTACTTGAGCCTTTGTTTTCTGGTATGAGTTATACTAAAGAAACAGTTCTTGGTAACTCTTTAAAAACTATTTCCTTCACAGCCTCTTGGTTAAGTGAGACCTTTGTTCAGGACAGATCCATCCAGCATGAGCTCTTTAGGGGCAGGGAAATTCCACCACTGCCTGGTGGCCATGTGATTTAAAGAAGACAAACTACAAACTGTGTGACAATTCTACGTACCTTTATTTTTAAATGATCTGGTACTTCCACTTACTTAATTTGGATGTTTCCTGATTGCAAACTATTAAAAAAAAAATGCAGGATTAGACTCTAAAATGCAGGCCAATGACACTATGCATTTGAAGGGACACTGACATTGTAAATATTTTCCAGACAACTTTAATTCAAACTCTGTCTTAAAGATTTTGTGATCACATTTTTAATACAAGTACTGTCAATACTGAATATTAAAAGGTGATATGATAGAGTAAGATTGGTTTAAAAGTATATTAGAATGTTTGTGTTTCAGGTTGAGTTTCAGGATTAGTATTTTAAAGTTCTTTGCAATAAAACCCAGAAATCTTAAAAGTATAAACCTATGTGAGTTAGGGCTTTGAAAAATCCCTTAGAATATATTTTAAATGTTCATTAGATGACACAATTTAGTAATATAGTTTAAAGGGCATTTGAAATAAAGTACTTATACTGTTAAGCCAGTTTAAGATCCTGGGCATGCAAAACCTAATTGACTTCATCAAGGCTGCTGAGATACCACCTTGATTGCAGAATGAAAGTATATTTTAGATGAGCCTTCTTTTGATTAAGCGATTCCACTTTGCTTGTCACATCCTATGGCAAGTAATGCAAACCCCTAACGCCTCCCCAAAACTTCCCAACTGGAAAAAAAAAAAAAAAAAAAAAGGCAAACCACAAAACTTCAACCCAAGTAACAATTCTGTTTTTTTTTGTTGTTTTTTTTTTTTTTTTTTTTTTTTTAAATGGAATACGGTGGAAGTGTGTTTGTGCAAACTGGATTGTGATACCACAACAGGACTGGTCTATATTAATAGCACACTAAGAGTTTGAAGTTGCCCGTTTTTTTCGTTTGGCTTCCGTTAATCGGGTGCTTTCGCCCCGGGAGGCTGAGGGGGGGATCCCCGGGTATCAGCAGAAAATGACCCGCGGCTTGGCAGCTGCCCCGGGCGGCCCGAACGAGCCGCCACCGCACCGCCCCCCCCCCCCCTCAGCTTCTCCCTCCTCCACCGCGCTCGCCCAAGCCCCTCCGTGTGAGGGAGCGAGGAGGGGTCAGCCCCGCTCGCCCGGCCCCGTGTTACCGCCGCCCCGCCCGGCCGTGCTGTCGGCTCCCGCCCGGGGAGGCCGGGCCTGCGAGGCCACCCCCTTCCCCGGCCGCGGGGCGAGGGTCGGGCGGGCCCCGCCGTACCATGGCAGCTCCCTGCTACTTGGGCTGGGATTTCAGCACGCAGCAGGTACCGGGGCCGCCTTCCCCCGCTTCTCCCCTCCCTCGGCCGGCGGGGCGGCCCCGGGGCCTGCCCTGCTACCACCCTCAAAAGCGTGCGGGCGGCTACACCCGGCGGTGCCTTTGAGAGCTGCGAGGGCGGCCAGGCCCGGACTGGCCCGCCCGCCATCGCTGCTCTGCCGCCCTGCAGCGCCCGCGGGCGAACAGGCCTTCCTCCTCTCTCGCTGCCTCCATCGCCTCTTTTCCTCCGCCCAGCGACGGTTTTGTTCTGCAGCTTCCTCGCTGACGGCAGGATGCCGTGCTGCGCTCCGTGCCGAGGGTCCTCCACGCGCGCCGGCAGCCCGCCACGGCAGATGCCAAATAATTGCCAGCGCTTTCACGTGTTTTAAGGGTTCTGTGGGCCACGGGCACTGCGTGTGCCCGGCTGTTGGCATGCCTCCTTCTCTTCACCTGCATAAGCGCATCCTTCATCCCTTTCTGTTTGTCCCATCTCTTGTCCGAAGCTGTGGGCTGAGTGTCCTAATGTGTCCTGCTTCCCCATCCTGCTAGGGATGCATTTAATCCTGGAAAGGAGTGCTATGACCCTTTTTTTACATGCATACAGCGTGGAGACCCCTCCTGCCTGTGTGTGGCATCAGGGAGGCTGGGAGCTGGGATTTGCAGCTGAATCCAGCTTTTCCAGTGTCCATGTGTGAATCAAGGTTAGCGGGACTGTGAACCTTGATGCTCAGGTTGCTTCTTGAAATTTTGATTTGTCAGCACAATTGGGTGTTACTACACTGTGAATAGAAACCCTGCTTAAGTTTTGCATGGGCCTGAATATGTTTAAAATAAGCATATGAGCATAAGTCACTTCATTATGGCTGTGCTGAAGTTTGGGAGCTTGAAAAGACACATCCAGGTTAGACTGACCAAGTTTTTTTTAACAGGATCTGCTGCAAGCAGAAAGCCAATTAAGCTGCAGTGGGTCAGAGCCATTTTTAAGCTAGAATCAGGTAGGTAATGAGTTGTGCCACTGCATAAATAATGGCTCTACATACGGCTAAAATGAGGATGGCCTTGTTATTTGAATACAACTCTTTGAGAGGACTTACTCTTTGTAGATTTTTTTAGTCTGTCCCTTTAGCAGTAGTTTGTACTCTCTCCCTTGTTGAAGTATGTGCACAATGTGAGGCTACCTTTTCACTTTTCTTCTAGGCTGTTAATATTTTTCTTCTGTACTAGGTGGACTTAAGTGAAGATAGAGTACTAGTTTGTGCTTGCAAGAAAGCTTAGCTTAATGGAGTTACACATTTGGGATGTTGCTCTCCGTGTGTTGCAGATGCTCAGAATGTATTTGTGCAGTGCCCTCTGAGCTTTGCTAGACTGGCAGAGTTTGAGTTACTCACCATTTGGGGAGCAGAGGTGGTCCTCAAGGTATCCTAAGGGTCTGTTAGGTTCCTTGGTAAGAATGGGCAAAAAAAAAGGAGAGGGTGGGAAAGCATATGGCATCTTTAAGATATTGTATTATTTGGAGAAATCAGAAAAATTGGTTACCATGGTGCAAGCTATGAACCTGGTATTTTGTTTGCTGTTCTTTAGCATATGCCTGCATCTCCTGCGATTAAGGAGAAAAGGGACGGGGGGGGGGAATGGGAACAAACAAACTTACATAGGTAGCATGTTGGAAATTCACATGATAACTTATTTAGTGCAACATTGTGCCCATAATTTCAGCGAGTTGTATGGATTGGAGTGATCTTCTTTCCCATTTTGTCTGTGGGAACTGAATTACTGTAAATGAGTTATCAGTGCTATTTAATTATTGTTAGTTTTTGTTAACATCCTGTTCTATATCTTTCAGCTGAAAGTCATTGCTATTGATGAACAGCTGAGAGTCATTTATGAGGATAATGTTCATTTTGATAAAGACCTTCCAGAATTTAAGTAAGGCTTTTTATATTTTACTTGGATAACATAATTTAGAACTTTGGAGATTGAGGGGTGTGGGGGGGTTGTTGACCTATTTGGTCTCATTGATAAGTGTGGAAAAAGTTCATGCCATGATCATATTTCATACTTGACAAGGGTAGTATATGCTCTTGCCTTCCTTGGTATGTAAAGATGGCAAGAACTCCCAACAGGAAATAAATTTAAAAATTATACCCCAAAATATTATGTATAAATAATCCATTATTATTGTTATTATTAGTTTGTTGTTGCTGTTGTTGTTCCTTTGGGACTAGAGACCTTTGTAAATGACTGTTTCCTTTCGGGCCACCAAAAAGTAAGTACTACCTTTGTGTCGGGGTGGAATGCAATAACAGCAAGTAAGTTGCATAAGGGGAACTTTTACAAAGGCATTTGGAGACGTATTCAGTGGTTCCAAATCTCACAATATGATATAGGATGACAGTATTTGTTTACTTCAGTTAATAGACAAGGTTTTACAAATGTAATCCTCCGTGGTCCCAAGTTTCAGTGAAGTACATTTATTTACTTGGTGGCTTAACAGCAAAAATGGAATTGAATCTTCTAGGTTCAAGCCACTAAAGGGGACAGTTAGGAAAATTAGAAATTACTATGACGTACATGAAGCTAATGAGCAGTATCAGCATTGGAATCTATCACAGATCTTACTTCAGCATCAGAGTCTTTCCTTGCAAATTATTTACTTTGCAATTGGGTTGAACATCTCTTATGTCACCTCCTAGGAGCTGGCTTTTACTTTTTCAGGTTTCAAACATTGATTGTGTTCTGGCTCTTAACATAAAATCATTGCAAACTCTCTTTGGTTATTAATAAACTTAAAAAACTTTACTTGGTAGGGAAAAAAATGCTGAATTTACCAAGAGAAAATACCATTTTTCTGTAGGACTCAAGGTGGAGTCTATATTCACAGTGACAGACTGACGATCACTTCTCCTGTGCTAATGTGGGTCAAGGTATGAACAAGCTTTACATAGTTCAACTTCTTTGCTATTATTGAAATGGAAATGTATTCCACACAATAGTGAAACTCATCATTCAAATCAACATAGTCCTTTGGCTTCTATTCTGTTTCTTTAAGTGTTATTCTGTGTCTTTAGTATGCAGATATTGTTATCAACAAATATAATGGAAGTTGATAACATTTTGAGGGTTTTTTTGTTTCTTCACTCTCTAGTATTACAGCATTATATGTGTGATAAATTCTTTCCTGACTTTCCCTCATTTGAAAAAAAGACTTATTATTTCCTCATCTTTTTGTTCCATATGCAAAAGGGGCAGCTGTCACTTCGCTTAGCTCAAATCTGTGTTTTTGTAGCATCAAGGTTACCTGCACTATTTTTTTTAGAATAAGCTTTGCTAATCAATTGATGTCTCAACTGGTAAATGGTTAAAGAGCAATTTATTCAGTGATTCCTAGTCACTTTGACTGGTGTTTCTTTTGAAATACAACACTATTTTCTATTTAAAAGAAGGTCTTTGTTGCTTCTGTGCAGATTCTGCAACACTTGCTCTCACATGGTACTATGTAAATTTGTCTTACTAGTGTGATTTGAACAGTTAAGATACTTGAAAGGTCACAGAACGCCCATCTGGTGGTCCACGGTAGTTGACAGAGGTTTGGTAAATTTTCTTGCAGTTGGACTTTTGAACCATAACGAACAGGACAGTTGTAATTATTAAATTAATAATATAATGGTATAGGTATATGATGTTTCTTGGGAAATTCTGAAGTCTTACAGTGGTCTCTTTGTCAAGATATGCTGATTTGAATGAGACTGTGTAAAGATAGGTTAATTTTTGTTTTTAAACTTCAGGAAAATATGGCAAAACCAAAATAAACCTAGGTGCTTAAAGTGTTAAAATTCACTTGAATTAGCCTTATATTAAAGAGAGTCAAGAGTTTTCAGCTGACACGGGGCAGTGGTATTGAGGATACCTAACACCTTGGAGGGTGTGCAGGGTGCACCCTGTTAAGATTTCATAGATTTCCAAAAGGAAAAGCAGAAAATAATAATCCTGCTTTGTATCTGGCACTTTTAAAAGTGGCTTTTTAATGATTTGGAATTCTTTAACTCTTGCATTTTATTTAGGTTTAAAGAGTGGATCTTTGTGATTCAGCTTGTTTAAGGATCTTTTTTTTCCCTTTGTGATTCAATTTTTCTTTTATGGACTCTTAGCAAATTAATTTATGCAGCTTCTTGAGAAGTCCATGGTCATTAGTTAATTTTTCATTATCTGCCAATGGACTCTTATCAGTGATGACATGAATTTAGTGTTTAATTCCAGAGATTGTGAGTATGCATAATATGATCGCTCATTACAGTCATTTTTGATTCTGTTTGTTCTTGTAGGCTCTGGATATGATTTTGGAAAAGATGAAGTCTTCAGGCTTTAACTTCTCACAAGTCAGAGCTTTGTCTGGTGCTGGCCAGGTTAGTTTACAAAGAAAAAAAGTCAGTTTTACGATATTTCTTCAACAGTGTATAAGGTATAGTGATAATTCTCATTTAAATAATTGTATTGCAGAAGACCATAATGACATCAAGTAAACGCAAAGCTTCTATGTAAGTGTCCATTAGGACACGTTCCTTAGGATAACTTAAAACATGAAGCACACAGAGCAGTCACTAGAAGGTAGTGGAAACGGAGGATGAGGTTTACAGTGCAGTCGTTTAGATCGGTGTAGTGCATAACTAGTTGGTTTCCTGTTTAAATTGTTTGTGTGTACAGATTCTGAAATAAATGGGGTCATTTTGATTTTCATCTCATCCAGGTGCTTGTGGAAACGGAGTGGGAAAAATAGTGAGAAGTGGAGTTTGCTAAAGGCATAGTAACATTTTGTTGGGCACAGTTTTTGTTGGCTAGGATAGAGTTTGCCTAGGAACAACAAAACCAAAATGATGATAGTCTTTGATGCAGAAATGACAAAGATGCTGCCATGATTTAGCCTTTAATGCATAATGCCTTTTTTCTGAGAGTTATAAAATCCATCCTGACATTTAGTGCGTTAGCCAGTCTCCTAGTACTCCGGTGAAACAAGGAAGCCTTTTATAACTTTCACAGATGATATTCAGGGTGAGGACAGCACCAAAGCGATAGCTAATTCTGATACATGAGGTTCAGGTTACTCATCTTGATATATCTGGGATGAATTAATCAAAACTCGTGCTTTGACCTCCATGTTTCATTGATTTCAGTTGAAAGTCTGAGAAAAGTGTCTGAAAATCATAGCTGGTATCAAGGCTCTGTTATGAATTCTTCAGTGGAACAGAAGTTAGGGACTACCAAGTAACCCCAGTTTACTCAAGTGAAAAAAGGAAGTGCGTTTCCAGATTGCCCATGTTCCCTTTATTTTACTCATTGTCCAACAAGTTGGGGGTATCAACTCGATGCTGTATTCAGATTCAGTTAGAACAGATTTTGTTTAGTTGCCCCCTTCCAGTGCAGATTGTCTCTCTCCCTTTTCTCTTTGAAGAACCTTGTCTTTATGCTGCAAATCACTGCAGAGGTGCACTGATGTGCCAGTGTTTGTCCTGAGGAAGGGACAAACTTGGTCTCAGTTGTCTGCAGAAATGGCAGAGAGATGTGAAATACATTCTGGATGACACTGGTCAAGTACTCTGTGCCTGGGGGGTTCTGTGTGCACTTGGTGACATCAGAACTATTAGTGTGTCTCTGGCTGGTGCTTTGCAGTTTGCCTAGGGTGCATAACTAGAGATGCCTGGCTTGAGGAAGCCACCTGAAAGATGGAGCTTAAATAACCTTCTCAATATTGTGCAGTCTGTTAGTGGTGACTGGGGCAAGCATGTAACTGAGGAATCTGGGGGCTGGGCTGAAATAGCACAGAACTAACAGACCTGACTGTGGAGCCCTGGCTACAGCTCAAAGAGCCCTCAAAGTATCTAATGCCATTAGCAGTATAATAATAGTTCCCACTAGCAGTTCAAAATCTTCATTGTCTCTTGACTCCTGCATTTTCTGGTTTAGTATATACTTTGCTCAGTCTTAAAGGGTCTTTTAATGAGGCACTGGGATTTGAAAAGGTGCATTTTTTGGTCCTAGTTTGGAGAGAATTCTCTGTCCCTTAAACTTTGAAATTCAGATCAGAGTATGAACTTTGCAGCTTATGAGGGCGTCTCCAACTTCTGTTTCTGCTCTTTCTACAGCAACATGGGAGTGTGTACTGGAAAAAAGGAAGTGTCCAAATTTTAAAGGATGCATCATCTGAACTGCCTTTACATCAGTCACTAAAGGTAACGTGCATAAAAGAGCTCTGAGGAGAGAGCTGCACTGTCCTTTTTTTGATCCTTACACATTGCTTTTCTCCTTGCAAACCTTTCGTCTTGTTTGGCTGAGTTGCATCCCCCTGCAGCATAAAGTGAAATACACTGGTTATTCCTTCAGCTCCAGGGCCTTTGATGTTGCCTTTTCTCCTCAGTGACAGTATATACTGCTTTAAAAGCGTACAGGTGCCAGTGAGTGTCCCAGAATCTTTCTGTCAGAGGAACTGCCTGTTTGTTCTTTTAGGAAGCATACTATTTTTGTAAACAACCTGTAAATATTTTACGTTTTAAAATATATTTGTCTTAGCAAAAAATTGTGTTGAAAAATACTATTGTACCTGAGTTCCCTTGCAGTGCCTGTGATTTCATTAGAAAATATAGAAAATATATATAAAAAAAAAAAAAAGACCAGTTTACACTAATATCTGAAAGGATAGAAGTGTAATGCTGTATGGTCACAAACTCCTAACAAGTATGTTGTTGAACCTCAACATTTTTTGTGTGTGTTTGTGTCTGTGTCTCTGAGTCTATGTGGTTGGTAAGTTGTGAATATAGACTTGACAAACTTTGAAAAGAAAAGTAGGGAGGAATCAACTTTCCTGTTGAAGATCCTGACCTTCCTTACTTCAAGATCAGAAACGACAGTTGAGAGAGAGACAGATATAACCGATCTGTTAAATGATTAATTTTGAAAATATCTGTGAAAACTCATGAAAATGGAATTAAAATGCTCTCTAATAAGCCTCAGTTGCATTTCCAAGTGGTTATGCCAGTCACTAAAGAGAAATCCATTAAAGAGGAGTTCTAAAAAGTGGGGCTAAAATTCCATAAAAGGGCCTGGGGCTTTGTCTAACAAAGGAGTGTACTGAGACATCGTGCTGCAGGGTATGTTAAGTAATAGCAGAAGCATCCTGTTGCTTCCCTCTGGTGTGAAGTTTGGGTTAAAGCTTTTCACCACTGACCACCATGCTGCCCAGTATCCACTTCCATGTAATTATCAAGACACCAGAAGGCATGTGGGGAACTGAGCTGTGAGCTGATACACAGATCTGCTGTATTGCTATTACTCTAGCAGTGACTTCTTAGAGATCAGACTTACTAGTAAAGGATATTGTTCGTTGCAGGATTGTTTTTCCGTCAGTAACAGCCCTGTCTGGATGGATTCTAGCACAAGTTCCCAGTGCAGTGCTCTGGAGAAAGCCGTGGGAGGAGCACAGCACCTAGCGAGTATCACTGGTTCTCGAGCCTATGAGGTAAGGAGCAGATGGGGAGAAAGTCCTCAGCAGAGTCTTGTGATAGAAACAGTTGTGCCATTACAGTGGTACCACAGCAGTAATGATCAGCCATTAACTGTGAAAAAGTTTTTGAAGGTGCTGTGCTTTGAAATAGTCTCACAAAGGAAGATGTGGAAATTTTCAAGTGAGATTAGGCAAACATTGCAAATTTTGCTGCAGGAAGCAGCTGGGGTGAGCGGTTGCATTTGGCCAGTGGTTCCAAAATACAGTGTTTGGTGGCCATGCTTACAATTTCAGGGCCTCATTCTCCCCTGGGAGCTCCTGGGCAGCCACATTTCCATTGAGATGACAATCCAGTTTGTGTTACAGGTTTATTTGGGATTATGACTCCCCTGTTTGTGGATCACTTCTCTAGGTTACTTCTGCGATTAAAAGATTGGCCTTCTAATGTTCCTTGAAGGCTACCAAGCAGCTGTTGACCTAGGAGAAGTGTTTCAGGAGTTTGGGATGCTATCAGAGAGTACTCTGTCACTTGTCTCCTCTTCTTGACACTTCTCTTTCCTGTAATTGTGACAGTGAGTTATGGAGTGGGAGCAGGACTGCCCTCCAGGCCTTCCACCTGACTACTCTTACTGTTGATTCAACAGAATCAGGCTCTAACCTCCCAAACTGGTGATTCTGTTTTTGAATCATCATGCAAGGTTTATGGCCAGTGTTGAAATCAGACTTTGCATACCACTATCAGTTTATTTTGAATTTGCTAAAGGTTAAGGTTTCAGTGTTAGAAGATTTTTGTTATTTTATGTAATACATGGATGAAAAATAATTATTCTTACAACTATTATTAGCCTGTGTTGGAGTTGCTTCTTTGAGTATGAAACTTCCTGCTTTGCTCCCAATTCACCTGCCTCACAGGGAGGTACATAGGTTGGGTAGCTTAAACCTTTTCAAGGATTTGAAGGCAGCATTTGAATTGTGCTGGTTCCTGTGCACAGAATAAGTGTGATTCATTCCATTGAACTGTCATTTCTGAAATGTAAATTATGGATAGTAATGCTTTTTCACATGCCTTTTTTTCAAAAGGTGAGCAAAATTCTCATAATGAGACTATGTGTTATAGCCTGTTTAGAGCAGATTGCCTGCTGTGCACTGACTTTCATCATGCATCAGGCAAATTAAATATCCAAAGTGCAATGTACTGAACTCATTACACAGAGTTAATGATTATTGACTCCATTTAGGGTTTGTGTTTCTAAGCATTTGCATTTCTTTCTCAGCGTTTTACAGGAAACCAGATAGCAAAGATTTACAGCCAGAATCCTGAGGTCTACATGCAAACTGAGGTTGGCTCAACTTCAATACACTTATTGGAAAACACAGTTGAAATCTTTTAAAATTAATTTTGTGGGGATGTCAGACTTTTTTACTAAAGAGTATTTTGTTTCTTATGTTTTGATTTTAAGATTAAAATTGAAAATTTGATTATTTTTTGTTTCGTTAAATTATTAGTCATTATGCAGATAAAAATCAGGCATTGGTTCTGTCTTGAATCTTACATTTAACACAAGAGGCTCCATTGGATCTCACCTTTGTGGAAGAAGTTTTAAAAAACAAACTTTCATTTGGGTGGTACTAAATGGTGTTTACAGCAGTTTGAACACAAGTGGGTAATTAAGCACACAGTTGAAATTTTCACACTTAGAACTGGCCACTTGCAAGCAGAAATGTGTTTGTTCTGCCATACAGAGCTGGCATCTGTGTGGATACACACTGAAAAAAACCCTACAATCGATTGTAGACTTTTCCATTGTTTTTCCCTTGAACAGCTTCTTTGATTCTATTATTACAAATGAATTGCATGGTGTAGTTGGTTTCCTTCTGATTTTTAATTTTCAGAAATCAGCTTGCAAATTTCATTATTGTTTCAGTTTGTTGAGTTTGCATCTAGTTGTGACTGAAGTGCCATGGTTTGAAGCAAGGTGAAAACTCCATGCAAATACCATGTAAATGACAGGACTCCTGTCCTGGGATTAGAATATGCTGAAATCCAGACCTGTGAAGTCAGCCTGCTCCTGTTTTTGTATTACTGCAGTTCTTGATAGCATTGATCATAAATTTTTTGTGGTTTTTGAAATCTCACCCCTGCATGAAACAGTTAATTTCATGGGGAAGTGAGCTGTAAAGTTGACTCTCTATTTTGTGGGAGAATGGTTCATTTTTAATATTTTTTTTCTTTCTTAGTACATTTTCACTGTATAACCTTTATGCTAGTAAGGTGTGGGATGAAACAGCACTAATACGATCTGCTCATAAGCTTAAGACTAATTTTAGAGATAGATATGTTAATGGAGGGGAGGTGGGTCCATGGATCTGAGAACCAGTCAGATCATTTGGGCTTTGAGGGCTGGTTATATTGGTGACACTTTTTAGCAATAAAGGATATGCAAGATGTTGTGTTTAAAGACAAAATATCTCTATGCCAGAGATGCTCTTGGGGTCCCCCAAGAAGCACTTAGCAGCTCAGCAGTCTCAGTGACACGTGGAAGGTGGATGTCTCCCCTTCTGTAAGTCAGCTTGCTAAACTGGCTGATTTGCAGTTTAATTTCATCCTTCTTCCATTTCAGGCAGCTAGGGCCCACTGGGGCACCACAGAAGGTAGGCCTTCGTTATCTAAGCACAATGTGATACATTCTTGGGGAGAGACACATGAAGAGCAAGTGCATCATTAAGTTTCCTGGCCATTATAGCCACCTCGTAGAGCTCTGGCTATAGTCTGTCTTTGAATGCTGTATGAAGATTTTGTGATCATTAATAAAAAACCTGTCACTGCTGGCTCCCTTGACCAGTAGAGATTTGATTCTTATTAGTTATTGGGTGACAGTCACATTTCTTCTGAATTAGCCACAGCACACAGTAAGGAATTTGTCAGCTTTTATGCCAGCTTCTTTGGAACAGATAATATGTGATCGTACAGAAAGCTTCTTGGTAGCCAGTTAACTTGGTGGTTTGTATAGTAGATTTGAAATGGAAGCAAGTTTGTGTTGGATCAGTGCATTGTGTCACCTGGCTGATGCATTTTCGTGCCAGTAGCAGAAGACCTACAGCTGGATTTAATGCATTGTTGGAACACACCGTGAGGCAGAGCTGCAGGTAGTGGTGCAGTTCAAAGCTGATTATGCCCAGCTCCTGGGAGTATCTTCTGGGTGGTCTGGGATCTCAGCTGGGAGGAAGGTAAGAGTTCACATAAAGGTGCTAGCAGAGCCTTGCTGGAGCTGCTAAAAAGCTTACAGACCTATGCTCTGGGTGTACCAGTGCATGGTTTCTGGGCATTTCCCCTGTTGTCAACATACAGGTGCTTGTTTGTTTTGTTGTTTTTTTTTTTTTTTCCCCTCAGTAACTGTTGTTCCTTGAAATGAAATTTTGTGATACACCGAAGTTGTGAATTAATTCATGATAACATCGAGTATGTTAAAATACTAGGTGTATTTTGCACAGTTCAGAATGCAAAGCTATTAACAGCTTTTATCATGGGGTTACTATTAGATCGGTATCTGCTGTATTACTTAGGCAGTAAGGCAGAACTGAACAATTCTTCTAGGTGTATTTTTGCGTGCTTCCTGTGTCTAACATGAAGCTTCTATTAACATTGGCTGCTTCCAAAGACTTAATTATTCACTTTCTTTGAAGTAAATACTGATGGGATTCACTGTTGTACACTTTTTCTTTCAGAGAATCTCTTTGGTTAGTAGTTTTGCAGCTTCCCTTTTCCTAGGAGCTTATGCACCCATTGATTACAGTGACGGTAAGTGTGTGGGCTTTTATAGTAACAATTCAACAAGGAAATTTTCCTTTCCATTCCAACCTTGCATAAAAGGGGGACAAGGTCTCTACTATTTATTTTCAGTCGTTAAACTTTAATGGCAAGTATATTAGATTTTAAGCTAGGTTACTCCTTTCACTTTGTTGCTCCTCTTTATAGTGCTGTCAGCTGTGCTTACTTATTCCCATCATACTATGATTCCCGTTTCTAGAAAGTGGATCCACAGAAAATGTTCTTAATTGAAATTGTACCTTTTTATTCATTTATGATGTATAAATGAATGCTGAAATACCTATTTAAAAGCATGAAAAAGTTGTGGATTTTTAAGTTAGACTTCGTAGTTCTGGTATTTGTTCATTGGTTTTGCTGGTTTAGCTCTGAGTTGTGCAGGATGTGAACAAGATGTATATTGTGATTATTTTTCACCCCACCTAACTGGAGTATGGATCTACAACAGAAATATATTTTCAAAATGAACCAGAGAAAAAAGCATAAACCAAGCAAAAAACCCCTAAACTCAGTTAAAAAAAATTAACCTTCCATATCTCTCTATTCATCAAAACAAAGACAAAAAAGTGACAATGCTAGTGTCTCTCTTTTCTGTTGTGTGTTATCTCAGTTATCCAGCTTTTAAATGACAATTTTAAATGGCAATTACAAAGGAAACCATTTTCCTGGGAGCTGTGCTGTTATTTCTAAATAGCATTTTGATTCCTGCTCTGAAACTAAGAGAAGATATATTTCAGAGCTGAAAGGTTAGATAACAAGGGTCTCTAAGGAATTTTTGCATTATAGAGCCATAGTTGACACCCATGTGTTAAGACCAACGCATTTTTTCTTCTTCATTGTTCCATCAAAGCTCATAGGAAAAGGCAAGACACTTCAATTTTAGCTAATGGACAACTTATTCAATATCAGATCTCCCAGTTACGCTTGTCACCTTAAAAATTGCAAGGCAATCCATGCTTATTTTGCAGGGGCTGTGAGATTATTACTTCTATCTTCAGGTCCTGTTCAGTTAGCCTTATATTTTCACATCTGAATTTCATTTTTTTGTGTATTATTGGCAACAATAACTCTTTAGGGATTTGCACTTTGCTTCTCGGTAGGCCCAAATACTGAGCACTTCAGCTGCTCAGCAACCCATAGCAGTAGCTCCATGTTGTATATTTCAGAGTAAAATGGTGAGATCTTCAAGGTGTTTTTTCTCATAAATACAGTGAATTTTTATTTTTCAATGAGAGTGAAGTGTTAATTTTGGTTTAAATGTTTAAAATTATAATCATTAAAAAACCCTCTTGGTTTTGGGTGTTTTGTTTTTTTTTTTTTTTCTGGTAATGTAACCTATGCCTTTTCAAGTTGGAAGCTCGTGGGGGAAAGCCATGCTTCTTCAACTTCAGAACAGGAACATTTCTGTGTTTAATTGAAAGTGAAAACATTTAAAACTAAAGAAGTTGAAAATCTGCTTCATGGAAAACTTTCTTAGAAATTGCATTGCATTTTTCAAACAGCTCTAGCAGAGCCTGTTCTGCTATGCCACTGGATATTTACGGAACTTGAATAAATGTTATCTGCTGTTCAGAGCATGTAAGATTATTAAATCTTTGTGTGAAAAAAGATAAGTGAACTAAGCAGGATGTTGTAGTTCTCTTTACAAGACAAAAGGTTTTTTGGCATTGTGGGCTATATTTTGTCTTGTTTGTTCTTTTCTTCTGTTAACATAATAAGAGAGAATTCTAATTCCAGTAATAAAATACAATTCCAAAGTATTCAGTAGTTACTTGGATCCAGCTGAAAAACTTGTTTTCTTGTAATTTACGATTTCTTGCAATTCACTTGATCTTTTACGTTGCACCTGTATATTGTAGTTTAAAATGCATCTCTCAAAATAATGTTCAGATAATAGACCTATTCTTCATTTCTGTAGGTTTAACTTCAGGTCATACTGTCTTTAAAAGACCCTGTCAAATTGTTTAGCTCTGCACAATAACTTATCTCTCTAAATTTGCAGGTTATTGTAGGAAATGTGCTATTCAGTTTCAGGATTTTTTTCTTTTTAAAGGTCCAATCTCATAAGGTTCAAATCACTGCTCGTGAATGGTTGAGCACCCTGGGTGATTGATTTAAAAAAAAATCAAATTACATTCTGGTGGAATGAAGAATGATTTTCATTTATATTGTGCAGATGTTAAAAGTAAGATACATTTGGGACCTAAACAACTTGAACACTTGAGGCATTGTTTCTTTTAGAAGACACCTTAAAGAACAGCAATTCAGCTCTTGACCTGGAGAAGCTTTATCTTTTGAAGTGCTTTTTTAAGAGCCTTAGGCAAATCATAGCTTAGCATACTTGTTTTTGTTGTTCTATCAAACAAGGATGCTTTGAACTGAAGCCTTTTCAGCAGGAAGCGTGGTGGGCTGAATTTACTCCTAATGTAGCTTTCATGGTGTCAGCAGAGTTACGCTGCTTATAATTTTAGCTCACTGAAAAGGCAATCCTGAGTGCTTTAATACAGGTGCACTTAACTGTTTATAAACGTATGCAAATATTGATCTTTAGCTTGTTGATTAATAAAACCAGTTAGTCTGCATCATTTGGTCTTTGTTTTTAGTTCTGCCCCACTGTTGAAGCACTTAGACTTTTGTATATGTAGTAAATATTAGCAAGTCCTGATTATGCGTCTGGTCATTTTATGTGACAAGTCAGTGATGCTTGCAGTGAAATACTGAATCCTGTTCATCCACGTATTGACCCTTTCCTCAGTCCTTACTAGACTGTGGCCTTCACTATTGACCTTCATTGCTGATGGGATATCCATTTGGAGTGACAAGTCAAAGGGCTGCCTTTGATTCCCCCCCCCCCCCCCCCCCCCTTTTTTTTTTTCCCCCCTTAGTTCTCAGGTTATTACTTATTTTATATGTTAAACTTAGTGGTGTAGATCATGACCAGAGGTGCTTGAGTTAGGAACTCACTGTGCATCGCTCCTTGTGTAATCAGAGGAGAAAGCGAAGTGGTTCCAGGTAGCACCTGGTTTTTATTGTCCACTGAGTAGAGATTCTCATGCAGGTGCTCACAGTTGTCTAGGATGAATCCAGGCCAGCAGATTAATAGTTCTTGTAAAATAGTTGTTCCACATCTTCTAAGTGAGTTTCTGAGGGTGGGATAAATTAGCTCATCTTTTTTCTGAGGACATATTGAAGTCTTGCTGCCACTGTATCTACCAGTCATTAAACTCAAGTGTTGTTTGTGTGTTATATAAACTTAGACCTTTTCAGTTATAAAGGTTAGTGTTTTTCCTGTTTTATGCAGGAAAGATTGGAGGCTGTCCTTACATATTGAAAAATTGCATTGGAGAATACTGGTTAAATGTTTCTGTAAACTTGCGGAGTGGAGAAAGGAGAGGATTTTTTCCCCAAAACCACAGAAAACAACTAACTTTTCTCTAGTAAAATTCCTGTTTATTTAAAGATTCTCTTGCTCAATGATTCATTTAATTTAGCAAAGGGGTTCTTGGCCTTTTTAAATTAGAGACTTTTCCAGGAAAATTTATAGATTTACATCTTTCCTTGTAGACAGCCTTGTTATGTCTGAGAGCTTGGGACAGGAGCCTGCTCATATCCTCTGCCTCTGGGAAGTGCCGACAGTGATGTTGGGCTCAGTTTACCATGGAAGGACTCAGGTTACCCCTGGAAGGAGAGGATGGCTAGCTTTAAGAGTGGTCTGACACAGAGAACTGAGACAAGCTGTAGTAGATCTTGCCCCCTTTGCTTTTCTGTAGGTGGTAGCGATTTAGACAGCAGAAATGGGAAATGCACCTTTTGCCTGTGGGGGGCATGATGTGCACTGTGCTCTGTCAAATTCCTGCTCTTGCATCATAGGCCAAATAAACCAGTGCATAATTTGTTGTGTGCTTAATTTGCCTGAAATGGGATTGATTGATTTTTAATAAATTAAATTTTTTATGTTATTAAGTATAATCCAGATATCCTAGTGTTTGGCTTGGGTTATTCCAGTGTTTCAGCTAGAGTGTGCGACGCTTTCTGTTCAGAACACTGTGTGAAGCACAAGTTCCAGACCTTGTTGATGGTGCTTAGGATTGGACTGTACAAATGCATACTTTATTTGTGAATGTTATTTAACTTATTATTAAGCCTATGTGAAGAAGGCTGTTGGGAGTTGATAGGATGGGCTCATTTGTGGATGCGTAACCAGCAGTAGCGTATGTGGGTGGAGTGTGTCGCAGGCGTGTGCTCTTCTTTGGAATAAGAGCATTGCTAGAGCCTTGGGATGTGCTGGTTGAGATGTGGGTTGCATCCCTTCTCTTCCTCTGTGTCCCAGCATTGCAAGCATAGTCTTGTTCCACAGACGCTGCATGTGGGGTCAAGTTCACCATCTTTGTGTTTTAAAAAGCTTAAAGATCTACTGAATGGAAATAAATTTCACGTTTTTCACTGTGCTCAGCTGAGAATGTCCTGTGTTTCTGAGATAACTAAGCTGTGGGCTAAATGGTCTTTGAAATGAAAATGTTATTAATCTAGAATAAGACTAATCTGTCCCTGAACAATGCTAACCACAAATACATACAGATTTTCAAGTCTAATGAAATGTGCAATTAAAGGCATCTTAGAAATGTGAGCAGGGATGTGGAATGCTCAGTATATTATATAGATTTGACCACTAACCAGCTTCAGTTAACTTCTAAACCACTAGTAAAATAGTGAGGAAAAAGCAACGAGAAACCAAACCAAAACTGCACAGGCCTTCCTCAGATCTAGTGATAGTTCTGGTGAGGAAGTAGGTGACCAAATCAGTTATCTAGGTTTTTGCAACCTGTAATTCACTTCACAGAATCTAGACTTTAGAAGTGTTGCATGCTTGCAGGTGTTACATATTTCAGTTGGGCAGTTCAGCATTTCTAAAAATCATGACTTTGCTATTCAAAGGTGGACTTTACAGTCTAGCCTCAAAATTAGAGTCTGCATTTGAAAATTTGACCTCTTGGGTTTTTTTGGACTTCTAAGCTTTATTTTGTCATCTCTCAAGAAGGAAACATGGATATGGAGGAGGATTTGTCAGCATGGATTTAGATGGTTATACGATACTCTACTCAAAGGTAGGAGCAGTGTAAAGCCACACCACCCAGGGGGCAATTTCTTCATTGTTAGGTCTCAGGTGAGCACAACACACCTTCAGGTGATCATTGCTGCATCACTTTTAGATAGTTGTAGTGGAGTCTTTGTCTAAGGTGGAAAAATTGGGGAGAGGTTGATGAGGAGGCATCCATGTTCTTTTTGCTCTTAATTCAGGAATAACTGAATTGTCTAGTGCATTGTGCATCAGAGAAGCCTTTTCTGCTACCTTTACAGGTGAGAGCTATCCAGAGGCTGAATTATCAGTGTCCTTTATGCTTAGAAGATCTGAAACCATTCTCCTTGAATATAAAACATGCACCTGTAAATTTTCTGTTGCCTGTAAAGAGGTGGAATTTTCTGGTACAGTACTGTCTTGTATTTAATGATACACGCTTTCTGTCTTGTAGGTTCTGGTATGAACTTGCTGCAGATTTGGGAAAAAGTATGGTCAGTGTCCTGCCTTGATGCTTGTGCACCTGGATTAGAGGAGAAACTAGGGTGCCCTGTACCTTCCCATTCAGTCCTGGTATGTGCCTGTTTGTAAGAGTTGTAAGCAACAAATAGAGCTTTGTGCTTAGAGTTCTGCTAATAGCACTTTCTTGAACTATATTTGTACGTGCTCACAAGAGTGCATGCACAGTTATCCTTGGAGCTATGCTGCTTGATTTAGTATTTCCAGGTGTGTTGTGAATGTGTATGCCAGAGCAGAAACAGACATCTTTAAAAGCTGCTAGCTGCCGTCTGTCATAGCTTCTGTCATAGCTTCCATCGTTGATCTCCTTGGATTCTTGCATTCCCTGGGTCTATGATGAGAAAAGTTTTGGTAGATGCTCCAGTGATAAGAATTTTTTGGGGTCCCCTCCCATGCCCACCGGCACCTGGTCACTGCAGAACTGTACACAGTATTTATTGCTGTGGAAACAGAACCCAACATTTGCATTTCTTGACAGAGACCTTGTTTTAAACTGCTTGTGGAGTTAATGAGGTAATCTTTGTGAATAATTTGTGATATTTAAAGCTCCTCAGTTCATGTAGCATAATGGTGAAATCAAATCAAGACTCACATCTCTCAGAGTAAATCAATTTAGTCATACTACCCAGCACAAAAAAAGCTATTGCTTTAGTTGTTGTACATGTAAGGGAGTGTAGATACCCATCACTCGATGCCTCAGAATTCAGTGCTGATCTTCTGTAATGTAGAGGAACATATAAAAAATCCTTATAGATGTATTTTTCGATGGATAGTTTTCTTCTCATGTTTTTTCCCTGGCTATCAAATGTGGCTTAAAAGAATACAGTTCTTGACCCCTAAAATAATATGGGTCATATTCCAGTATTTGATGTTGTGATGTATATTAATGTCGTGTTTCCTCTTATATTTGCATTGAATTTCTAATTTCCGTGTATTAATATTCATGTATGTGTGCAAAACAGATGGATGTGTTTATGTTACTTCATGTGAATAACTGGAGAAAGACCCAAAGCTAAAATGCTACTATTTACTTAACCTATTTCAAAATCTAATCTGAGGGTATTTCTGTGAAGTTCTTAAAAACAAAAAAATTGAGTTAAAAATCTTGAAGATATTTATTCATACCTTAAATACACAGAAATGATTATTGTAGCTGCTCTGGGGTTTTTCAGTTCTATGTTACAACACACTGTGTCATATACTATAAGATTACTTTCCATTTTAAGCTTTTTTTTCCCTCTCTTTCTTTCTTTCCTTAGGGTCCCATTTCTCCATATTATAGTCAGCGTTATGGGTTTAGCCCAGCCTGTAAAATAGTAGCATTTACGGGAGACAATCCAGGTGAGATGATTAAATATGTAAGATTCAGTGAATATGATTTTGTATGCACTAAAATTCTAAATAAATCTCATCGCTTCTCACGTGCTTCCTATTCAGTGAAAGAATATCATGTTTATCGTCACTAATACCTTCTTCCAACAGCCTTCCATCACTCGTGGTTCTGAGATATAGACATCTTGGATAAGCTGGGTGTGACGAATTATCTTTTGCCCAGTAATTAGATGTGACTTTATTTGCCTCTTGATGTCTTCAATTTTTGTTTGCCTGCCCCTAAGAAACTATTCTTACTATAAACTGCTAACATTTCAACTTAGAAAATATGAATTACAAAATTGCTGTTGTGTCTTTTCAAGCAAAAAATTGGAGATGGACCTCATAGACTTTCTCTGGGAATTAGAGCTGTCCTTTTGTCAGACTGATAGATCTCAGTATAAGGGAAACTGTTATTTAGGGTCTGTTTTTTGAATCCTGGAGCCTGTTTCAGTGTAGAGCAAATTCATCTCTTTCTCAGGACTGTGAAAATGAAATACTTACCTGTATTACAGTAGCATATACTGGTTTGAATCAAGATGGAGGCTTCATCATGATATGTTTTACATTCATATTCTGGGAGAGGGTTAAACTCTGCATTTCCCAGAAATCCAATTTTTCTTCTAGAGATTCAAATCCAGCTTAGTCCAATAAATACATGAATAGTCTGATGTAAGTGCGAGTGTTTCTCTTTTAAAGTGTGTTGTTAAGTAAAAGTCCACTGCATTTAAAACCTGAATACATAAAACATTAGATAAACATGCAGTTCTATAGTCTTTTGTCTTGAGCATTTTGATTTTCTTAAAAATCACTCTCTCGCCCTGATGCTTTGCCCGTCTTTTACAGTGTATATGGATAAGGCCATCATGAGCATATTTGCCATTTATATTGTAATTTGAGATGGTCGATGTGATGTATTATGATGTCTCATACAGTGTGTTATAACTGAGCCAAACAAGTAACTTTTTATCTGGTATTCTGACTTCTGCTTTCAGCATCATTGGCAGGGATGAGACTTCAAGAAGGAGATATTGCAGTAAGTCAGAACATACTCCTGAAAACCGTCCATATCCCCGGATAAATGAAATAAGTGAAATGTAAAATTGCTGTAGGTGATCAGTTAAATTTATCTGCTAGTGTTGATTTTCTGTTTATTGAATTCATTCTTGTTTTATTTCTATCAATCTTTAAGCTGCCTGAAAGATTTTAAGTAAACTCTTGTGACTATTTTTAACTAATGCTCCAGACATTAAAACGTAAGTCTTTATCTAGTATGTATTTCACTGGCGTGACAACCTAAGTCAGAGCCAGCTCCAACACGAATCCAATTGACTTAATGTGTAATTTAAAAACAATTAGTGGTAATAACAAATGGTTTTAATTTAATTTCTGTATTGCTTTCCATGCATATTGTGATAACACTTCAATTATTTTTTTTCCCCTCCAGATTAGCCTTGGCACAAGTGACACATTGTTTCTGTGGATCCAAGAACCAACTCCTGCCTTAGAAGGTCATATCCTCTGCAATCCTGTTGATTCTCAAACATATATGGCACTTTTATGGTAATACAATTTATTTTTTGTACATCTGGGATCGATAACGTATTTCTTTCTCTGTTGTTAGTGTTTTTTTATTTCTTTTGCAAAATGATAATGGATAGAACATTCAGCATTCTGTGTGGTATATGGCAATCTACTGCTGAAACACTTGCATTAACGTTATAGCATTCCTATTGTTTAATTTGAGTAACTGAAACTGCAGAGTTGTGGAGGATAAATTCTCATGGCAATAAAAAGCTGAAATTATTTTTATGTATACATAGAGCCCAGTTCAGTAGGAATATAAGGTAATATATTTAATGTACAGGAATAACAGTCTTCTGAAATATAATAATGTGAAATGTCAGAAGCTTGACCAGGCTGTATAACTTCTGTGCTCTTGTAGTGGTCCAGAGGGGACATAATGGGGCAGGTGAAGATTTTCTTTTTAGAGAGGAGTATAATCAATGCTGTTCAGGGACATATTAGGCTGTGCATGTGGAAAATACTGAGATCTCAAGAAACCCAGCTGAGAGAATGATCCTCATGGTAGCTTTTGGCTGCTATAATTTGGCAATTGTTTGGTCCCTTGCCAACCAAGTAGGTGGAAGGGTAGCCTGAAGCTATGTTTTCCCTCACTGAGTCGCTGTATTCAGGGTAAAAACTTACAAAACAGGTCATAGTGTTTAGGCAAATATTTACAAGTAATATGCAGATAAATTTTGTGTCTAAATCCCCTGCATTGTAGGTGCTTGAGATGAAAAACTTCAGCAGAGCTCAAATCTGCCCTTTAACTGTAATGTTGAGTCTTACCTATACAGTAATACGATGCTGTAGATGACAGTGGGAACAGTGTTCATAAAGTTGAGTTCAAAAGCATGTTGTCAACTGCAAGTTACTGAGTTTCATAGTATGATTTCCTAGCAGGTTTTTTTTTTGTTTGTTTTGGTTTTGCATTCAGGTTTCTCTTTTACCCAATATTTTTCCAGCTTTTGCTGTGTAAAAGAGCTATACAAACAATCTGTTCATAATAGGAAAGGAGATGCTGAGGCATTTTTATGAATAACTGTTATACTGCCATTGTTTTACTGCAGCTTAACATGTGCAGAAGGCCAAACCTGCCTTTCAGAACACAAGATATTTCTGTAGCCATGCAAATATAAAGAGTTCCTGTTCCTCCTGCCTAACCATTTCTGCCCTGACACTGCCCCTTTTGCACCAATGCTCCTTTATTTCTAGACTATTAGAGTTAATAGGGGACCTTCAGTTAGGAGAAAAAGAATGCTTGAGCTACCAGGCAGAGTATTTGAACAGAAAACTCAGGTAACTTCAGCTGCTGCTACTGAACAAGTTCAATAATTTCCTTGCCCTCTTTCTGGATATTTCTGTGCCTTTCCTGCCGAGTTGCTCTGATAACTCCATGCTAGACAGTATTCAAACTGCTTTCCTCTGGATCTGAGTTGGTTGCTGCAGTATTTTGCAGGAGTGTTATTTTCACAGAGGAGTCAAAGGTGGTGACTGCATAAAGGGTGCACAGACCATAAACACTGAGCAGACGCATATTTTACAGCATGATTTACTGGCTCTGGACCAGAACCATGCAGATACAGCTGTGGTGCTTTCCTTTGCCCAGATCCTGGCACAGAACTAGACCTCATAAGTCGTGTTGGACCCAAGCTGGCTCCATGCTGATACCGTGCTCCTGAAATCATGAATGCAACGGAGAGACTCTCTTGCTCCTCCTTGCAGTCATCTCAGAGTGAGCTTTTCAGCGCCGTGTCAGAGTACTTCTCTGAGGAGCTGTCTTAGCTGTTCAGAGAGTCTGGGTTTAGCGTGACCTGCCAGACTGGATCTAAGCTGACTCATTGGCGAGATGTATTGTGTTCCTCAACACATCCTGTGATATTTGTTTTCTCTCTTATCTGTTTTTTTCCCTATCTCTTCCCATAATGAAGAAGTGATTGTATCTTTTAGCTTCCTGAGCTTTATTCAGCTGATACAATAAACACCAATATTGAGTAAAACAGCAAATTTCTTTAAAAATCTAGGGCTGAATGTTTTGGAAAAATGCATATGGTATGTTTGTGTGTTTCAGTTTTAAAAACGGTTCTCTGATGAGAGAGAGGATCAGAGATGACTGTGCTTCAGGCTCCTGGGATGAATTCTCCAAAGCATTATCATCTACTGTTGCTGGAAACAATGGAAACTTGGGTATGAGCCTTAGCAGGGCTGGGAGTTGCAGTGTTTGTTTAGACACATACTTGAGTGGGTATTGTACCTGCTTTTTACTTGGGTCATGATAAAGGCCAAGAATTAAGTTAACTAGAACAAGGGAAATTCCTAATGTGTACTTAGAAATGCTCTGTTGACAGTTGTAAGTGTCATGATAGTATTTTCTTTCAGTATTCACTAAATGAAATTATATTTATGGAGATCTTGTGGTGATTGAAAGTGTGTTAGTAGCATCTTAGCTGTAGAATGTTTAAATGTAGTAATTTCTGAAAGAGGCTTTCATTAAGATTTGTTTCTTTTTTTGAAGACTCAAACCAGGTGAATTAAGTAGATCCATATTGTTTCTTTCTCAGTCATTACTTTAGAATCTTGTTCATGCATGTGAACAAAGCAGTAATGTCAAGTGATACCCAGATTTCCTGCATTTTCCCCAGTGTATGTGACAGAGTAATTTCATCCCTGTTTTTTCCCCATGTTATGGTAAGTGGATGAAATGAAACAAGATGATTTTAATGGCAACATTTTAAAATAAATAAACCCATGTATTTGAAGTTTTAAATTATTTTCTTTCCTACACTTTAACATTTTACAAGTGTACCATATAGCTCTGAGATAAGTTACTGAAATGTGAGCATATGTGTAATCAAGATTAAAATTTAACCATTGTAGAGCTGTATTTGAAATCAGTGCCATCATCCTAGATCTGAATTGATATGAATAAAATTAATTAAAAAACTGTAGATAGTAAAGTTTTTAAATGTAGATATTTAAGCTGTAGACCTCACTTCTTAGGAAAGTGAATTTAAGATACAGTTTCTTGACACTGTGAGGTTAGAACTGATTTTTTATTTTTGAAAGCTTTGTTATGTTGTCTGTCAAATCCAGTCTCTGTGGAGTATTAAAATGACCAGGAATCTCTTTTCGCTAAAAGACAAATCAATTCAGGTGTTTCAGAAACTGGGAAGAAGTTATTCTAAAACCCAAAAGTCAGCCACTTGAGACAGTATTAAGAAAATTGGAAGCTGATGAAAATATTGTTACTGATGTCAAGGATACCAGGACATTAAAGTTTTAGAATTTGTACTATACTATATTCACTTGCATATCTCAATCCCCTATAAAATGAGTGTTTCATGGAGGTCATCCTCAATGACCTGAATGCTTGGATAACCTCTGGGTATACATGTAAAAATCCAGCAACCTCCATAATTTGAGTTTCTGAGGGAAGCAGAGCAAAGTAGTAACTGGTTAGGCACCCTCCCTTTTATCACTTACTCCCTGCACTCCCTGTTGTCTGAGAAGATGCCCCTGCAGAGGTTTGGAGATGGCAGAGGCGGCTGCTAGCGTGAGGTTGGGATAATGAGAGTAACAGGGGTAGCAAATAGGGGAGGAGGAGGAGTGACTGGATGAGGGTCCTGTTGTGACTGGGAAGTGCCTGAGAAGGCTAATAAACCCAGGAAGTTTACGTGAAGACCTCATCTGCCAGATTCAAGGTGGCAGCAGGGTCAAAGGAAATTTTAAGATACACATCCCCTGTCAGGGCCTGCAGATCTGTAACCCACAGTGTTGCTTACTGGCAGATTTTCAGAATGGTTAATCAAAAAGGTTATGTGTGCTAAAGCACAGTACTATTTTGGTTTTTTTTTTTGGCTAATAATCATAGGGCTCCCAGGGCAGCATATTCTTGTTCTGAGGTCTGAACCTTAGAAACTCTCCTTAGTTTCTTTGCTGTCAGTTTTTCGGTCCTAATTTTCTTTTTTTTTTGTCTCCTTTCTTGAATATCTTTCCTGACCAACCCTTCTTGCCATCAACACAAAAGAAATCTTTTTCACACTTTTTGTCTAGCTGTCTGCAAAGCATTACTGCATTTCTTCAGATCTCATCAAAACTATTCAGAGACCAGCTCTGCTTCGTGGCTTAAAATATGTGATGTTCTCTAATAAGCTCATGAAATCTAATCCAGTGCATGAAATTTTCCAATATTCCTGTACTCTTCTTACTAGCTCACCATTTTTTCTGTTTCATTTGTTTGTTTGTTTGTTTGTTTTGTTTGGTTTGTTTTTTTTTTGTTTGTTTGGGTTTTTTTGTGGTTTTTTTTTTTTTCCCACCCTTGACCTACTGATACTATTTCTAAGATGTGTTTATATAGTGTCTGCTACTTGCATGTGTGTGTGTTCTGATTGGTGTGTGCTCTTTTGTAGGCTTCTTGTTTATTATATTGTTTGGATGCCTAGGGCCAGATATGCTTAAGATCCAGATTTTTGTAAACTGAAAGTAGTTAAATTTGATAAATGTGTGGACTGAAAGTAGTTAAACAGGCTGTGCAGTGACTCAAATGTCTTTGCAAATACGTGATAAACATTTATTATCATTTTAGCTGTGTGCTGAAATAAGATCCCAACTTTGGGCTAGGAGCAAACATGACACTCTTTAATGTTCCTTGATGCAGGTTTCTACTTTGATGTGATGGAAATTACTCCTGAAGCAGTTGGGATTCACAGATTCAACAGAGACAACCAAAAGGTAGTAATAATCTTGTTAACGTCTCAAACCTTGAAGGAGTACTGTCAAGGCTTGAAATGTTTGCCATTATCTTTTTTTTTTTTTTTCCCCTCTCTCTGAGATACTTGCTTTCAAGTTTCATTTATTGCAAGTCCCTGGGATGATTTTCATAGGGAAGTATTTGGTCTGTAGCTTGAGAGTATCTACAGTGCAAAGTCTGAACTAGAATTTATATGGTATTTTTTTTAGGAAATATTTCCTTTACTGGAAAATGTGGATTTAATGAAACCAACACTGTTTTTGAAACAGGATTAACTTTAATCTGATCAAGATCTTAGTACACTTATATGACTTAGTCCCCATCTTCTAAGTTTCAGACACACAGATAAGGATGTGTTGAAACTTTGGGCTGTAATATTTTTTTTAGCTTGCTCTAAATGTGTATGTAAAGTAAAAACCTCATTTTACTGTCCTGCCTATCTTGGAGTAACTTACAAGCTACGTAGTGGTATGTAAATAAGCACAGGCTCAAGTCCAATTGGAATTAAAATATAAATTACGTTATGGAAAGGAAAATTCTTTGTATTTTTTTTCTTTTTTTTTGTTGCGGAATGGATGTTTTTTAAATGTCTGCCTTTCTGGGTGGTACTGAAACTCAGGAGACGCCTTTGATCAATCATGAATCCCAGTCATTTAGACCTCACCTAGGTGAACAGAGATTGATACTATCTTGTGTTTTCAGTGTAGCACTAGTCTGTTAAATATTTGCTGTTTAAATGAATGCACACTTCTAGCTGTTACACAGGTTGTAGGCACTTTCATTGTAGTGCATGGAAAAAGTCAACTTTTTGTGAAAGATTCTTTGTATTTGTTTGTAGCTCAATATTTTCTTACTCCTGTTGCCTTTCTCATAATCTGGTTGACAAAAGGACAGAAAAATGTTACATATAGAAACTAAATTAATGAAAAGATGACATGGTTTCAATTTGTGCAGACAGAAATAGTTTTAAACTTTTGTGACATTGCTTAATGCATCTGAATTTTATTTACTTGCTTCAGTTTTGTATTTCTGAGATACTAATTCTTAACCAGCCTTTGGTGCTGGGAAATGCATAGAGAAGAGTGTACAATTTGCAGTAGAACCTTTTCCCATAGTGCCTTGATTTCAAGTTTGCTGGATTTGCCAACCACACCAGGGTTATGGGTTACTTCTCTGTCATGAGTCTTCAGGTCCAGCTTGTGTGTTTGAGCGAAGAACTGGGCCTAGTTGAAAGCAGACTTCAGGGTGAAGACAGGGATAATCAACTATAAATGTCTTGTGTTTTTAACCAGTCTCCAGCTTGGCATCATATACTGTGTAAGGTGCTTCTTAACTTAATGTAATCCCTCTCTGATACAGGTTTCAGACTTTCCAAAGGAGGTAGAAATACGAGCATTGATAGAGGGGCAGTTCATGGCCAAGAGGATTCATGCTGAAAAGCTGGGTTATAAAGTCAGTAAGTATAATGAAAAGCTGCAGAAGTAGAGATCAAACAAAAAGGTGTCCCGACAGTAATGTCAGTATTGTGGTTCTTGTCCTGCCTGATGGATACAGAAACTGTTATGAATTCTAAATTAGCCTTCTGGAAAATTTTTTGATGGTGTGTTGGGGGCAAATTTTTGCCGATGTTAACTTCAGAAGGACCAATGACTTAAGATTACTTATTTTCCAAGTATTCTTGCTGTTTCATTGTTACTGAGATGCATTGTAAATTTTTAAATAAGGGCTTAGGCTTTGATAGTTTAAGTGAAAAGGAGACCAGCCACCTGCCTAAAGCACAAGACTGTAACTCAGAAAATCTGAAATCTATGTTCAATTCCTGGATCTGCTATAAGCAGGTCACTTACCTCTACCTCAGTTTTCTGTTAATAAAGCAAAAGCCCCTTCCCTGTCTTGTGATTTAGAAAGCAAGAGATCCTGCTTCCTAGAATTTATAATATGAATAGTTTTTAGCACATGGGAACAAGAAGTCAGATAGTATTTTATCTATAGAAGTGGGATCAGATCAGTAGCTGTGCAATTTACAGAAAGAATACAGGCAAGTTGGTAAGATGTTTTACTGGTATTTTCTATCAGTATGTCAGACAGTGGCATCTTAAAAAATACTGAATTAACTCATCTTGAGGGTTTTAAACCAGTGTTTTACTTTAAAAATCATATTGTTTTTATTTACATCCTGATGTCTTTCTTTATAAGCCAGTCTTGACCTTCTCCTTTACAAGCTATTGCTTGACTCCTACCTCCAGGCTTTTATCTGTAATCATGAAGAACATAATTTTTTTTATTTTTAAGAGATAACTCCAGGAGCTGAAAGTTGAGAAAATACAGATATACTGGAACAAATCACAAGGCTTGGCAACTCCACCTCATAAGTTTATGTTGTGAATGTTTTCCTGTTATATATTTTATTATATACTCGAAACCATATTTATTTGGGGAGGTTATTTATGGAGACAGGCAGAGATTCAAATAGATTGTGTTTAAAATATACCTGTTTATCCTTCCTTCTTAGATTCTGCTGCACCAAAAGCTTGGCTTATATAGCCTAGGAAGTTCATGTCTGAAGAGCATACTTTTGCACTCTGTAAATGTCAGGGGTTAGACAAACACCAGAGTGCGAGAACTATTTAAGATAGCAGACAACTCTGACATAGAAACAAATGGGTAGAATTTATTTGTAAATACATTTAGGCTAAGTAGGACAGCCAAAAACCTAACCAGTTTTAAGATGTGGTTTAATAAACTTTAAAAAATGTTGTAGATGTCTACAGTAAAAAGGAGGTCAGTGTGTTTGCATTGCGTTCCTGTAGATTCCTTGGAACCTTGTGTGCTTTTGTTTTGTGTCCCAAGGGTCTTTTAGCTATTTGGTAACAACAGATGAGTTGCTTTAAAAAAAAACCTGCAGTGCGTAGTGTAGGCTGTAGGCATCTCCCACTTTTCCTTAGTGGTATTATTTAAATGTCATATTCTGTTATTTGTGTAGTGATGGCAGGCTTATATCTGCATTTGTTGTGTGACAGCTCTGAAAACAGGGTGTGTTCTGAATGTATTTCAGGGTATGGATGAGCATTGTGGGAATTACTCTGGTATTGCCAGACTTGTTTAATAGCTGCTGTTTTTCAGGCTGCTTTTTTGTTTTTAATATAATTTAAAAGCTTATTTATCTTTTGGATTAAATATACAGTCAAGACCCTTGTGTTTATTCAATTCCTTTTAGGCCTTGTCTACATGGGGAATTTACTTTGATTTTTCCAGGAATCAAGCTGACTTACATTCAGAAATATAATCACAGCTGTGTAAACCTTGGCTTTCTTTGTTGTTGTTTACACCAGTGGGAGAATACAGTAATAACTGCTCACAAGATCTGGAAAGTTATATGGTAACACCTGTTAAATGGATCTGTAACAGAAATGGAAGTGACATGGTCAGTCACAGTAAATGCTTTCCTATGTTGTCCCAAGTTTTGTGTGGTGCCATCTCATTGGTGAAAATGAGTCAGAAACCTGGCTAGGAGTTTCTCTAGTTCTGGCACCAAGGTGGTGAAAAAACATTTTGGCAGTCATGAACCTGCTTCTCTATTCTTGGGCCAAATGCAGTTTGGATGACTGAAATCTGAAAAGCAGTAGTGTACGTGGAAGAGAATTTTGTAAATATAAATAAATAAAACCCTGTCATATGGAGTTCTTGGTTATGCACTGTGAACATGAAAAACATTAGATAATCCCTTAGAATTTACTTTCAGTTAATTAATGTATTATCTTGCTAGGAGCAGTATTTTGAATCCTTGGTCTAGCTAGCGTTGCAGGAAGAAGTGCAATGATGCTGAAAGAGTGTTTTATATGTGAGGTTTTGTTCCCAGTTTGATGTGTCCCGTACATTGTAGATCTTCTATAAATTACAAATAATAGTTTAAAAAACCCCATAAAACAGCTCTTCAGGTGCTGTTTGTGCTTGCCTGCAGGCTTGTGCACAGGTTTCAGTGCGGTTTGTGTGCCAGTAGAGGGCAGGGGATTCTGCCTCATGATTTTTTCCATTGAGGCTGGGATGCATGTCTCAGCCTTGTTTTGAAAATGGCACAGACTCACCAGATGATCCTTAGGAGAAAAGTTAAACCTTACATTAATCGTGATTTAAGGGTTTTAAAAGTGTGTGTCACAGTTCTAATTGCTCTAATCTTTCTCAATCAGATTTCGGGGGAAATCATTCAGTAACACCCTGTATCCTGTTTTGCTTATGTTCTTAGGGGGTGGATAGAGCGTTGTGATCTAGGAACAAACAAGTGAAGTTTGGTCTGTCCCTGTTGTTTACATCCTCTGATTCAGAGATTCATGCAGATAAGGTGAAGGTTTGCTGTTCTGCCTTTATTTTCCTGAATTTTGATTGTATCATAAACACCTTCTGTTTTGTCACTTCCTTTTTCTGCTTGCAGCCATCCCCTTTTGAAAGCCAAACTCACAACTGGAGTTCAGAGGCTGGTCATACACACGTTTGCTGCATAGTCTGGGGACTCTCTGAAGTCAAAACCATGGTAACTTTATAGAGAAATGACAGTGTCTGCAGCTCAGTGGCACTGATGATCACAGCAGTTATAAAGCTGTCAGTGGTTCAGACTGATCTGCCAGTATATACTTTAATAATTCTGATGATCGCTTCAGAGTTGCTTCTATTCCTGACCAAACAATCCTAAAGTTCACCCTAAAACTGATACTGAGTGGAGAATGTTGCAATGGTCCTTGATCAGACCTAGTGAAGCTGTCCTGGTGAAGACCCACAAAACTATTATTGGGAGCAAAATCTACTCCCTGCCCGATGATGGGTGAAGCAAACATTGCCATGATACGTTATGTATGCTGAAGGAAAACAGCATACAGGTAAGGGTTCTGGTGTTGATCACACATGTAGTCAATAGATATTTAAATGATGTGCAGATCTACAGTGACCTTCATGTCAATAGTAATCTGAGCACTAAGTCTGTACATACTGGGTCAGGTGTGTGCTAGAGTTGTGTTAAATAAGCTTTTGTGGGACTGCAGCAGCAATTAATAAATCCTGCCTTGTAAGTAGGCTGGTTATCTGGGGTGGTGTCTGTGTCGAAGCTGTTAGCTTTGGACAGGGCTTTCTGCCTTCGAGTTATGCCTATCAGTGAGTGCTGTGAGTACCGGTTGCCCGATGTGCTGTTCGTGTCACATTTATACATTTAGGAATCTGATTCTGCCACTTAACTCTCATCAGCAGGGGGAGATGGATAGAAGGTGCCACGTTTTACAAGCACAAGCTTTGTTCATAAAATCTCGTGTTTGTGTTTATTATGTAATTTACAGTTTCTTACGTACATAAATCCATCACTTGCAAATAATGTTGGTGTCCTGAATTCTACTGACTGTACTTGGTGCTTAAGTACTGGCTGGGGTGACACAGACATGCCCGTGGCTTTGCACTGATGTAAGAATGAGCCAGTTCTTTTCCTTAAGTGCTGTGTTACCTGTGTTTCAAATGTATGAAAGTACATACATCCTTCTGACTGGATATACAACAGGATGCGTTCTTAAACAAAACAGCAGTCCTGCAGTGCTAGGGAAAAAAGGGAAATGTCAGAGCACAGTGGGTCTGACTTCTGAGTGGTTAGAGGTGGAACTTAGATTTTCTGAAGAGCTCAGACTAACATTACATGAGGGCAAACTCCAAGGTGCCAAATTTCCTTCATGTGGTGGGTTTTTTTGATGCTCTTTTCAGCCGGTTGAAGGTAGTAATAATGTGTGGCTCCTTGTCCACAGGGAGGGCAGTCTGATGGAGTGAGGGGAGTTCAGAAAATACCAGTTAGTGTAACATGGAGCGGTTGTTCATGTTCATTGTTCATGTTGTCATACAGAGGCACAGAAACCCAAAGGCGAGGTGTGAGGCTATGGCTTCACAGCAAAGTGTTGGAGGATGAAGTGGTGCTCTGGTTTAGCAAGGCTAGATGCCACTGGTTTTTGGGACACTCTGGGATGGCTTTGTGTCAGGCTATGAGACAGATTTTTTTGCTGGTGGTGGTCTTTGACTGGTTTCTGTGACTGTAGTGTACAAAACTCTTATGCATTATCAGGAACGTTGAGGTACTTGTTCTGTCAGCTGCCTTTGCCTTCACCGCTAAATGTGTTTCTGTTGCAGTTGTAGTAGTGTTTTGGCTGAAATGAGGAACACTGTGATTGAGGCCATTTTGTCGTTGCATACAGATTAAATTGATGTTTATGCCCTGCGGGATTTAAATTTCTTAGAGAAATCGATACTAAAATGTTGTGTTGGCTTCGTGCTTGTCTCTTGCTGTTTGCTGCTAAGAGTGGTGATGATGTTTCAGCAGCATGAGGGTGACGGCTTTGTTAGGGGCTTTTTACTTCAGCAAGTCAGTGAAAACAGTTTAAAAATTATTAGAAGACCCTGCCCTTGATGGGAGGTTGAAGTCTTGTTTAAAATAAT